CCAGGGGGACGCGGCGGCGGGGGCGGTGGGGTCCGCGTGGTCGCGGTGCTCGCCGCCATCACTCGGCCTTTTTAGCGCAGGGCTCGCAGCATTGTCACGAACCAGCTGCATTGTTGGCTTTGAGCAGGACGAGGATCGCGGCGCTTCGCGGAGGATCCTCGAGCATACGAATAGCATCCTTCGCGGCGCACCCGCTGCTGGCCCGATGCTAGAGCGTCTCTCTGCCCGATGCCATATAGTCTAGTTCCGGACTTGGAGCCCCGAGCCGTGGGCCCCGCTATCCACCGCCACGTTTGCGACCGCCCGGATAACGGCGGCGTGATTATCACCTGCGGCAATCACAATGTGCGGTCGAGGTATTTCAAATAATTTTGACGCACAAGCCGCGGCGCGCAGGCACGCAGATGGCTGCAGAAGTGTCACGTATGCGTAAGTTTGCTTCTTCCAAAACTCACACCACCGTAATGTCGTCAATTTTGTTGCATCAAATTTTCATTTTGTCCGATTTTGTCGGTTTTGGTTTGCGTCGCCGATTGAATGAAAAAATTCAAAAACAACGTTATGTGGACAGATCTGGGGATCTGGGGCAGCGGGGCAAGCCCGGCTCGCTCCAGCAGCACCACTCCGGCAGCTGCGTTTGTTTGGACGACCATATAATCATCAATGTATCGGGCGATAAGCCCGCACGTGGCCCGAGCGGGTGCATGCGGCTTTGTGGTAAAGAAAAAAAAAACTCGCTCAAAAATTAATTTAGACGGGAAAAACACCTAAACTACTACTCCTTGTCAGACAGCTTCGACTATTAGCGACGCCCAATGCATTTCCCAAACAGCGGCCCATGGCGGCGCAACTCTATACTGACACGCGGTAGAGCAGCGCGCGTCCGCAAATAGCGCCATGAGGTTCCGTTCTCGGACCGGGCCGGAAGGATTAGCAAGCCCGAGTCGACAGAAATAGCAACCATGCGCTCGCTTTATAAGTCAGACCAGGTGGGGAAAATATAAGATTGTTGATCCCATCGCGAGTTTCCAATACGTAATGCTGTATTTCCACTGCGAGCGCGGACGTTATAGGGGGGTTGTTTTTGCGGGTTGCGGGTTGGAGAAGCCGACGAACGTCAGAGACGTGTGCAGCAGTTCCGCGCGGGGTGCCCACGCAGCGGAACCGGCCGCGCGCATCAGCCGTCAGCCGCCACCACCACCACCGCGCCGCTGTTGCGTCGGCCACCCCTTTGCGCGCGCGGGCCGGGCAGGGCCGGCCGTGTGGCGGTGCGGGCAGCCGCATAGAGGCAGCCGCAGGCCCCGGCGAGGTCGTTAAGTCGCCAGGCCGTCTGTCGTCGACCTCCCCCGGCCCGACCCGGCCCCGCGTCTCTCTCTCTCTGGCGGCCCGCGGCGCGGGCTATCGCTGCCCATCGCCCGCCGCTGCGCGCCCCCACGCTCGCTCGCCCCGGTCCTAGGGCACTAATCAGGCCGAGCAGCTCACCGCACCGTGCGCACTCTCCGCATGACTTGTGCCGCGTAAAGCAGCGCGCGAGGGAAAGAGAGAGGAAGAGAGAGGGAGAGCGCGAGGGAGAGAGCGCGCGAGAGAGGGCCGCGCACCTGTAGTGGCGTGGCTTGTGCGACACACGTGCGCGCGCGCCCGGCGATTGGAAAATAAAAGAACCGCAATAATATAACCGTCAGATAAGAAGGTCGCGTAAGACAAGGTCGTGGACCGCGGGCCTTGCCGGGCAGTGGTTGGGATGGGTTGTGTTAGGTTAGGTGGCAGGGCCGGGGGGTCTAACTGAACAGGGAACCTCGCGTGGAGCCATACCGGGGAGCACACGGGGACCGTGCGCGTCTGCCGAGGCGACAAATTAGCCTGCAGGCAAAAGAAGTCTGCTATCTGGCGGGTTATCAGCTTATCTCTTGGGAGACGAGCGGGGCGCCGGACCAGAAGTGCGGTGCCGCAGTGGAGCCCGGTGCGCGGCGGTGCGCGGGGGCACGCACGGCTCGGCGACAAGCAAGCAGCGCATCGCCATGCAGCTCAAGGGGATCTCGCCGCTGCTCACCCCGGAGGTGCTGGCCGGGCTCGCCCACCTGCAGGTCGGGCAGCTTGTCGGTGAGTAACGACGCTGTCTCTGCATTTGCCTCCGTACTACGGTTTCCCATGGGCCCCAGCAGAGTTATATTTAATTTTGTATACTGTAATGCATGCGGATTGCCCAAGGTCGCTCACCACACGGGTGCCTTGTAGCCCCTGGTGAGTAGGCAACTAGCCCACACGCGTGGTGCATGTGGCATGCGGCACAGTAGGACACCAGGAGAGAAGGGCGCCCTTCTCTCCTGAGGACACCATACGGGACGGGACAGTGGGAGTTTTGAAACCTGTCGCAGGGATATATCGGACGAAAACAAAGCTGCTCGGTAATTCCGTGTCAGTGCCTTTAACGAAAAGTACCCGCGCCTATCCTAATCGCGGTTTCTTTCTCGTGGTTGTTACGGTAAATCTTTTCTTTCTCCCGACAATGACATAATAACACTCATAACACAGAAACTCGTCCAAACTCTTCCGACACCACCACTTCACGTCGTCACCAAATCTTATCTCGTCGAATAAGTACCTCAATCATGATGCGCAAACTATGACAGTCGATAACGAGCGGACTGCTTCGCTGCTGCATGCCCCCCCCCCCCCTGGTGATCCCGGTTGGTGCTTACCTCTTCAGCTGCTGCTCAGTCAGTCGGCGCCGCGTGCGTCCTGCAATCAAACAAATCCCTCGTCAGTACAGGAGGCACATTACACAGATAGTCATGTCAACGCCATACAGCCGGTCCCGGCGCGCGCGTGCACAAAGGTGCAGAGTGCACGGCGCAGCTGCCCGCCCCGGGCGGGAGGGCTCGGACCTCCCAGCTCGCGAGGCCGGCGGCGCCCCCCGCGGACAGCCCCCTCATCGAGGTGCTCATCGAGGCCCTGAGCGAGTCCACCGGGGGGCGACGCACACCGGGGACCCTGAGCACCGGTCCGCTCATTCGATCGCCTAAAAACTTTCACGGCCATTATCACCATTGTCTCCCCCCGGTCCGGCCACGGCCTGGACGATGGCCCGCGCTTTTGCTCTGGTTTGTGTGATGTCTACATCGTGCACACGGCAGAGACACTCGGGCCAACAAAGTGGCTAGCCCCGCCCCCTCCCCCGCTCCCCGCGGGGGGCGCCTTCGCCTTCGCCCAGGGGACGGACAGACCCCCGCGGAGCGCAGGAAACAGGATCCAGGGGGGGCAGGTAGCGCGCAGGTGAGCGTGGGAGACGTGAGGAGCGCGAGGGGACGACGGCCGAGGAGGACCACGACGCTGGGGGTGCCATGGGCCATGAGGCCACAGAGGATGAGAACAGAGCGGCATAATCGTCAAATGTGGCACCCCGGTCCATCGGCAGAATGCGACGACCGAAACCACACCAACGGCTTTTCAGTGCTCGTTGCCTCGTCACGGATTCCTACGTTTCGTACCTTCGATTTTACGGTGCTATTTCACGCCACTCTGCCCGATGATCGTTGCCGCCCCCGCCCCCTACAGCCACAACACTGCCCGCCCCGGGGGAGTGCAAATACAGAGTGATTGTGGATGGAGTAAAAAAATCGCAAAAAAAAATACTTCGGGAGCTTATAGGGGTTGCCTAGAGAAGTGTTTTGATATTGAACAGTTGGTTGCAGACGATACGTGACGTGATAGGGCGCAAATAAGTCTTCATGTGTGCTCTGCCGGACGAGAGCGTTGTTGCAACCCCGAACACACAAGATGTTGCCTGTTGCCTAATGCCTATCGACAGTAAGGCGCTCACTTCAAATTTGCCTTTGCTACCCTTATTGTCCCATATCGAAACATTTTATCAAGGCACCACCTACACGATGCCAATGTATTGCAACTCCGACAAAAGTGACCCCGTATACAGCATCCGTGCGAGTGGCATGGACCACCATCAGGTCACACACCACAACCACCGCACTCGCACCCTCTCTCGGGGGGCTGGCGAAGCTTGACCGGCGGCGTGGTGACACCGGTGGACACCACCAGGTAGCGGTGCAGCAGCGGCGGCGGCGTGGCGTGGCGTGGTGCGGCGTGGCCCGAGCGCGCCTAGATACGAACGGGGCCGGGCTGCTGCACCTGCACCTCGACCTGCACGTCGGCCCGAGCTGCACGGCGGCGACGGCGGCGACGGCGGCGCGCTGTCTGCGGGGCTCGGGCTGGCCGGGGAAGCCCTTCCTGCCGTGACTTGCGCCTTATTCAATCAGCCACTGCACGGCGCATCCCTTCCCCCAGACTGCCTGGCACCGGGGTGACTGTGCGTTCGGGGGGTGCTCTGCCGGGCCAGACAGCGTGGAACCAGCTCCGCCCCGCCCCGCCCCGCCACGCCAAAACGCTCCGTGACGGGCGTGGAGCGACGCGCTTCGTTAGGCCATTTACCGCACCTGCCACCGCGAGCGAGTGGCCGGGGAGGATGGTTCGTGGCAAACGAGTCCGTAATCACAATAAAAGTGTAATAGTGTTCTCCACAAGATTGTTGATCCTCCGCGCGCCGTCATACACCGCGCGAGCCGCACACAACCACAAAACTTGTGCGCGGCAAACTTTCTGTGATGCGCGGGCTAAGAATAATGTCCGGTATGACGCTATAGTCGCAGGATGACATTCAAAATAGTCATAGCCAAACGAGACAAGGTGGATAATTGAAGTAGGCCTACGTGCTCGCTCACTCTCTCGCACGTGTCGCGGCACTACTCGCTGTGGTCCAGTGGTGATGCTGCGGATCCTGGCGCGGGATACAGTGACGCATGGAGTACGCCCGCCGTCGCGGAGGGAAGCCCACCGCCAGAGTGTAGGGCCCTTGAGACCGGGGCGGGCGCAGCGCGGCGTTGTTCCCCGGCTCATCCATTCATTAGTAGTGAGAGTAGGCGAGCTATGGGAGCACGCGGCAGTTAGTTGTTTGCAGCCAGTGGCCGAGAGGAACAATAAAAAAATGAATTTAGAAATATGAAAAAGTATTTCGTTTATGAGCTGAGGTTTTGCTCAGTAGGGCGGTACGCGGGAATCTCAAAACGGGGAGTAAAACGATGACCACGTACAAAAACGGAGAAACCGGGTGAGCTGCTGGGGGCGCGCGTGCCTATGTTAGTTATACTCGCTCGAGACCGTCGGGAATCTCGGCATGAGTAGCAAGGCACACTCGTACGTCACGCATGCATAACGGTAGAGTGGGGCAGCGGAGGCATCCCGGGTTTTTCGGCATTGCAACTCATCGCGGGGAGGTCCGAGGTTAGTAGTCTTGCAGAGGCCCCGGGGGATGCAGAAGGGGTTGCCCGAGCGGGCGCTGGACCAGCCGGGCCTGACGTAGAGAGAGCGAGAGAGAGAGAAAGATACTCAGTGTCTCCAAATGACCGCGGCGGGGCGGGGCGGGCTAGAAGGGCTGCCTACCCTGCGGGCGGCGAGGGAGGCGACAGAGTGGATGACCAGCGTGGGAGCAGAGGGCCGCGGGGCGCGCAGGGCGCCTCGATGCTATCGGCAGCCATCGGCGGGGCGCGCGGGCCTAAAGGCGGGCCTAACGGCGGGCCTAACGGCGGCCCGGCCAGCGCTAATTACAGGCCCGGGTATACAAACACTGACCGCCCCCGGGGGGCGTGGCGGGGCGGGGCGGGGCGGGGCAGGTGTTCACGAGCAGGCGCCGGCTCGGCCCGCAGGGGCGTGTGCATGGCCGGTCAGGAGGGGCTGGCGCAGCGCGGATGGATGAGCGAACACTGCTTCGCCCGGCTGTATGGTCAGTCGGCCGGAAATAGCCTGTATGGTTTTTGAATAAATGTCACACTAGTCACAGGCCGTGCGCCGTCGTGTTTGTCGCTGCGTTTCTGGCGAAAGTGATAAACCTTTTTCTGTCTGAGAGGCGCGCTCGCGCTCTGCTCGGGGCGTGCCGCCGCTGCCACCGCCGTGCCGGGGGGCGCGCTCTGGGCCTTGACGTCTTCCCCGAGGTAGTGTGACGTGTCGCGCGGGGAAGAGGCTGCCGCCCAAGTTCTAACGCAGGGGGAGCTGCATACCGACGTACTCCCTGGGGGTTTGTGTTGTGAGTCACGTGACATCACGGCCGGGTGCTTCATATCGGCATTTCGGACGACCGAAACCGATAAATTTCGGGTTCGGGGGGGGGGTCCAACAACTTTTTATTTTTTACTGTCTCGGGTATTAGAGACATTTTATGGGTGTTGTCGCGTATCCCGTCATGCGGCGGCAAAAATTATAATAATACATTTAAAATTGAGTGAGGGTAGGGGATTAATAATTTCGTTCGGTGGTGTTGGCGACACCACACTGTGGGTGATAGGCTTTAATAACACCGCGCGTGTGTGTGGCCCGTCGTGAGGCCATCACAACCCGGTGATCCTGTTTCGATGACCGCACAGGCGGCCATAACCAGCCGCTAAACCGGCGGTAAAAAAAAAAAAAAAAGAAGAGAAGAGGCAAGAAGCGGCAGTTGAGAGGCGCCTGTGGCAGAGACAGGCACAGGTAGTAAAGGTGTACCCACACACCACGCCGCCGCCGCCCGCCTCACCTTGCCTCGGCCATATACACACCACCCAACCCTTTTGGCTCGCATTATGGAAAGCGGAGGCGGCGGGGAGAGGCGCCTCGGCCTGCAGCGGAGAAGCCAACGTCTCCCGGACCGACAAAGGAACCCCAATAAAACTTCGGCAGGGACGATGATAATAAGAGTCGAGTGAGGGGCTTTGAGTGAGTGAGTGAGGATGGGAATGAGTGAGAGGGAAGGGGGGGGGGGCGATTAATAAGAACGCCTCCTCACAGGTAAAACACACACACTCACGCTCATCTCGCCCATTGATCGCGCAAGCAGCGCGAAACCGTCGGAAGGAAAGGAAGGGATCGTTGCGGGTTTCATCATCCTGCTCGCTCGGATCTCCTCAGATCTCCGCGGCGCATGCGGCGGCGGCGGCGCGACGAGAACTGGTCGGCGGAAGAGAGGAGAGGAGGGGGAGGAGGAGGAGAGAGGCGGAGGTTGCCCTCAAATCATCAAGTTTCCTCTCCACTCACTCCTCTTCAATCTTCATCCGCCGTTTCCTACAGGAACCAACCTGTACGCGGCTCTCGCCAAACCGAACGAACGGCCGAGCCGAGCCGGGCCGGGCCGAGCCGAGCCGAGCCACGACCGCAAATAATGACCGGGTACCGGGTCAGGGGCAAATGGCCGAACAGGACCAGCGCCTCTCGTTGCCTCTCGCGTTGCACAAGTTGCCAAACGCGCGAGTGTAGAGCTGCCCCTCCATACAGCATCCACCGGGCCTGGCCGCCGCGGGAAAACCCTTTACTCTTGTCTCCTTAGGCCCCCCACCCCGCGCTGCTGCTGCTGCTGGAGCAGCGAGGTGAGGAGCCCTTCCGGAACCAGGTGATGATGGTCATGCTCTCCGCGGGTGAGTCAGCCCGGCAAGCATGACAAGGCAAAGGCCGTGTTAAATCGGGTAAATCATTAATATTCGCACGATGCACCGACTCAATGTTGGCCCCCATAAAGGGTTGGCGCATTTGATGCCCAACAGTTGTTAAAACGAACAAAATTGAGTCCATATAGTTTTTTTCACTAGGCTTACATATTTTTGTCAAAAAATGGTACGTGGTATAACAAGAGACTAGTCTCTTGGGTATAACAAGTGCATATTTTCCCGAGGAAATGTACTTGAACATGAACATATTTTGGAAAA